AGGAACCTGCATGCTTGTATTGGACATAGATATGGCCCTAGTCCCTTCACCCACTGCGCACATGTCCATCTTCAGTGATCTTGACTCTGTATCGCTACCGGCGTACGGTGGGCTCGAGAAGAGCGAGCGAGGCAGGTGCATCAAAAGTCAGTTTCACGATCAGAAACGCTACCCAGTGATGATGCCTTGACCTTGCTTCTCCTTTTATGGCTGCAACGTCACTTTCAAACTAAAGCAAACCGAGACTGTTCGTTCGTTGGGTGCATTTCTCAACCACCCGGCTCCCGACCTCCTGCTTGAAGGTTGGTTCAGCCTCTCCGCGATTGAGGCAGTTCGCGTCTCGCCATTGAACGCTTGACCCTCGTATATAAATTCCCAATGGGAGTTCCATTATCCATTCGGCACTCAGACTATACAATTTCATCTTCTAGCACTAAACCAAAATCAACGTTCACAAAGTTTATAGAAGACAGCCTGCTAGATTGCCTCACAGTTCAGTTTTATTAAGAGAAAGGCAGGAGAACGCCTTTGAACTCCGTTTTGGTTACAATAACGTCACAAAACCACCAATAGATAAAGGAAGTTTGAAAGAAGAGTGGTCAAATAATTACAGACATCAAGCATTTAACTGCCCGGTAAGTTCTAGTATGTACCACTGGTGTGTCAAACGTTTAAGATCATCAAGACGTGTTACTGAAGTTGGCCAAGTAGTATGGCGGTGTTTGCGACAAAATTTACTAACGAAAGTCGCTTACTTCTGCCGGAGAGCAATTTCGAATGTATGCGTCCGACACGGATTCGGAAAGGTGCTGTAATGTCAGCAGGTATCGGGTAGGGTTGACAGGAAACCATTTCTGCGGGTGACAGCAGTCACGGGGGGCTTTGCTGCCATTTGATGGGAAGAAAATTGCTCTTCAACGCTAATTGTCATCACTAAGTCTAACCGGAGAGGACGAATCATAACACCGCGACGGATCCTCAGTGCACTGGAGAGTTACTGCCTTTAGTGCCCTCATTAAAGGATGGTGTCCGATTTTAAGGGCGGATGTCTCTACCCATCCATCCAGCACCTTAGTCTAATAACGTGGGCCTGGTAGTCATCTGGTGGGTTCTAGGTGGATTACTTAAGAAATCCTGCTTGGGCAGTCAGCTTACTCTACCAGATTTGGTGGATTCGAAACGTTGCAGTAGACCGGCTAGGCAACTTGACCCAAATGTGATTAAACTCTCGACCCCTGGCGGGAATTAGTAGTTCAGGTGGCTTGAGCCTTGGCTGTACTGAAGTCTTCCCCTTGCTGTTGTGGGTTCGAATCCCACCGAGGTAGCCGAGTTTTCCACAACATTGTCAAAATGACTTAATAGAACTGTGCCGGTGGCGGTCACCGAAGCCTTAATGGATGGCGGCTAACTTTCTCTGTGTTCAAAAATAACCGATTTTCCAGATAGGTGTTCATCGTGATTGCTTATTCATCAGACCCGAGAGCCGGTTTACTTCGCAGCTAGCCCTCACCAACGGTCTGCGCGCCACTCACCACCTACGGACATGCTGTGTACCCTGGAGGTAGGCCATCAAACGGCTCCTGTCTTCTTGGGTCGCGGACTTGATATACTGAGTTGTCTTAATTGATCCGTTAGAGGGAAATTTGAGCATCATCTTAAGTTCCTAGGGATCTCTTGCCCATACGTCGACCCCAAAATCTAAGCGAGTTGTGAAACCATTCACAGGGAAAGTAATAATATCAAAAGGACCTTACGTGGTGGATCAGTTCTCCATGCCATTCCACAACCTTGGGAGCCTCAAAAATGTCACCACCTCATTTGAGACCGAAACTCCCGATCACCTTACTCAAACAAAGTGCCGCGTCCGAACAGCTCCCTAATCTCCTGCAGATTCTCAGTCTTGAACGAAGCGGAAGTATTCTGACGAAGGCCGGCTTTCGAAAGAAGTTCTTTCCGGTCGCTCGCTAGAACTACTCTCTGACTACTTAGGTTGTCTGAATTCTCATTAATTTTTGATGCCCTTATAAAGTCAAATATATCTCATACTAAACATGCATGAAAATATTCTTTTACTCGTTTGGAAGAAAATTATCTCTTCCAATTTTATGCTTGAAAAAGGGTATAATTTGGATTTTAAAAAGTCTCTAATTATAAGATTTTGTAAGACCGCGAAATCCCGTTCATAAGGCCTAGTGTATTTGTGTTTACTAATGTTGCTTATATATTTTACGAAATGTCCCGAATTCACTAATAAATTTTATAAACCCCATATGGTTTCTTCTTAATAACGTATAGAATTGTATGAATTTCCGTACACGAAAAATATGCAGTTTGTAGTTTCGAAACCCTGAATGCAAGTGTAACGCCAGCTCGGGTTCAAAATAACTCGCTAATCGGACAGGTTTTTTAAAATTTAATTGTGCCGTTTCTTTAAATATAGAATTTGAAGACGACGTAATTTTCTACCAAACGAGTAAAAGAATGAATATTTTTGTAAAGTATAAGGACATCGAAAATCAATGAGAAAAACTCGTATCAATTCAGTAGTCAGTTTCTACAGAGTGTAGTTTTTGCAAGCGACCGGAAAGAACTTCTTTGGAAAGCCGTCATCCTGAAGTAACTGAATTATTATGGAATCATGTTGCAGGGTGATTAATACATCTGTCCTACTTTTCGAGTCGAAAACGCATTTTAGAATTTCGGTTAACATTTAATGAGTTAGCACACCTACTGTAAGTGTCTCGTCGGGCATATTTATTTACCGACAAACTCTGTTTCTCCTTTACAGTGGCTGCTCTCAAAAATGGACTAGTTGCCTCACCGGCGAAGACAATCAGCGCCACCTCCCAGCCAACGAATGGCGGCCAGTCTACACAGAAGAAGGCGGTGGAAGCAGGTCGCGAGACCAAGGCCAGCGTCGCGTCCAGCACCGGTGAGGTTACTCTCATCGACTGGGACAGTTTCATCGCCCTGCCGGTGCGCAAACCCCACACCACCAGCGGGGGTCCCTTACCTTGCAAACAGGTGACCAAGTCGACCACTCCAAATCCTGAGCGGCAGTACCGAAACCAGTCTGAAGGCTCAAACGGACGGCCTTCAGTGCCGTCTGCGAACACCACCACCAACGACCGGAGACGACCTGCGTCGCCGTCTGGAGACAGTGGCCATTCAGACACCTCCACACCGCGCCACCGAGCTCGTAAGCGCCTCAAGTTGGCTCACGCCGAGGCAGGGAGGCTGTCGGACAGGGTATGTGCGCGACGCGTTTAATCGCATAGACTTCCAGTAGTCTTTAGATTTTCTCGATTCAGCTCTGGTTTAGTCACCGGAATAGACTCACTCAAGGTCAAAGATATGTCAGAAGACAGTCGGGATAACTCGGTTACTCTTTGTGGCTCTATAACAATAAACAGTAAGATTAGCGGATCACAATAGAGTTAATAAGACGGCGAATAGATTGAAAAGTGGACGTACATTCGAGGTGATCAGACGAGTAGTCAGAGAATGACGCCAAAGTGTGGTGGCCGGTTTAAAAACAAGCGGCAACAAAGAGCAATAGACAATGGACAAAGAACAATGACGAGGTGGCGAGCATACGTAGCTTTCGATAGATTCTCTTCGGGCCAGTATATTTATATGGGAAGGGAGTAGGAGTAAAAACACGTCAGTGATAAGATAGATCGATTAAAGTTCGCCTTAAAACACAGGCAGGGTGTGGGAATGTGGGGGGAGGGGGGGGGGCTAATAGCAGTCAGTGTCAGGGGCGGGGTGAGAGCGGAAGGGCGCGGGAGAGTTGTAACGTTAGTCGACCTTCGACCACTGTAGGCGCGGAGCCTGAACGTGATTCTTCTGTGCGCACAAGATCGGTTTTCGCAACTTGATGGCGGCCGCCTCTGCTGTTGCTAACAGACGCTGTCCCAGTGGTTTAGGATAGTCCGATGGGACCTTATAGATCACACGAAACGCTTCATTGGGGTCTACATGATGTCCGGAACGACAACATGCGCGATGCCCCCCGTGAATGAAGATCGACGAGACGTGGACTGCGGTAGTTGCCTCACCTCCTTTTACATCTCTTCAGGACAGTTGCAGGAGTGACAGCCCCAGCCAGCAGTTATCGGTCATTTCTCCGACGAAAGACAAGTCCAGGGATACTTCAATCGAAAGCAGACGCCTGTGTTTCAACCGGAGAAAACTGTTGAAGTTCTAGGCGAAAGTATATCCACGCAGACTCTATTAAAGTCTAATTGGCCTCATTGTGAAAGAAGCATCACAGTCTATCGACCCCAACAGGTTATTCTGATGATCTGTTGCAATCCTGAAGCAGTCCTCCATCCCTCCCCTTGTCTATGTCGTAACCTGCGTTGCTTCTGTTTCAACAGGCAGAGGAATCACTACAGTCGCCGTCCCTCTCTAAAGGATCCAAGAATTCGGCCAAGGGATGTGCTTCTTCTTGGTCTTCCCGGGCGGACAGTCTCGCGGGCGATGAGGGCGGCTCTGTCAGTCAAGCTGACTCTTCGGTAACTTCCCTGCCATTTTATTGCCCCAAATATCGAAAAATTTGGAGAAACGTAGTCATGCTCCTCAAATCAATTAAGTAGCGATATAACCTGCCGTAAAACACCACTGGCTACACCATTTCATCGCATATCTCCTCATCAGCACCTACACCACACATGACCACACCAAACATCACACCATGCAAACATGTCATTGCCACCTCCCACGCAAGTGGGAAGAGCACTTCTCGGCTCCGTCTCCATGTGACCCCTCTGCTGCATGTGAGATTCGAGCCTGCGCCAGGCGCCATGACTTGGTAGGTTGCCAACTGTCGATGGAACTCAGACCTCGCAGTTTACCTCAGTGTATGTGTTTGTTCGGGGTGGCCGACCGAAATTCAGGCTGCAGTGACTCCTTCTTAATGTGTCCTTTATAGCACTCTCACTCAATGGGATCGAGTCGCCCCCGCCTCTTCTCTTGTCGCATGTAAATTCTTAGTTTTTGTTGTGAACCCCAGGAGGTGTGGTGGTACGCCTAGGTGCGGGTCTGTCCGTGCCAGCCACCTGAGCCGTCCCTCATCCCGGTCTTCTTGACTTAATCATGACTCCGGCCCCAGGTGAGGAAGGAGAGAGTGCGGTAAGCGCTCCGCAAGTCGTCTATCACTATAAACTAATTCACAGTCCAGCCACGGTTCCTGCCCTCGCTGTGGAGCACACGGCGAACGTCATCGAAACCGGTGACCGGACCGTCAATTCTTGATGTTACAGACTAACTGGCATTTCGAGATGTGCTCTGTCAGAGAGAGGTTCTGCCCTGCCACGAACTCGAATCACTGACCTCTCCAATTTACATCAAGTACTCCTCTGCCTGCATCACCAGCGGTCGCCGGCGCCGTCCACGCGAACTGCGATATTTCCTTCTGACCCCAGGCCAGGAAACAACCTTAGGAGTTTGAGAAAAGGGAGCATGTTTGGAGGACGTACACAGACCAGGTTACGTCTAATGAGCCAGAAAAGGCTATCTCAGTCTCCCTTGTCAGCCTTCCATCCTGCATAAATAGTGTCGCACTCCTCACAGCTCTTGGCGAAACTCCGGTAGGTCCGTCGGTGCTGATTGGAGGGATCAGTGCTCCGATTGTGCTCCTCAAATGCTAATCGTTTCCCAGCAGAAGAAGAGGATAAGTTTCTATTCTGATGTTTCGAGCTCATACGCGGGGTTAAGTCTCGGAGAAGGGACGTCTTGCCGACTCATCCATTTCCAGCCCAGTTCCCCATCTCAATGTTCTATGGCGTACATGACTGTGGTTGCGCCTATGTTAGATCTCATAGTGGGCTGCGATACTGTTGTGTTAGGCCTTAACGGGCACACGCTGGTTTCTGTCACGGGTTAGTAGGGCTTCGCCGAGTCTACACGGGTTCTTAACCATTACGGTGTTTGCGTGCAGTACACGAACCATAACAGGCCATTGATGCATGGGGGCATGGTGTGTCTAATACCAGCCCAGCCACTGTCACAACACTTCAGAACATTCCGCTTCTGGAACTACTACGATGTGCCAACAGACGGGGCGACTTGGTCCTGCTGTGGCCTTTATGGCACCCTTCACTTCCACGAGGTCCGTGACTCCTTCCTCGAAGACTGTTTCACTTGGAGTTTTCTGCCAGGTGGCGAGTGGCAGGCGTAGACATGCCGTTTAGCCTTGTCAGGCACTGAGCCACCTGCAGCTCTACTCATTTTGATCCCCTGTCAATTAAACACTGAGTTTGGGCGAGAGAGGGGGGGGGGCTGTTAGATGCATCGCAAGCTTGCTTCACTGTAAACTGGTTCACGCGCGAGTCGCTATCACCCTACCGAGTGACGAATTACGAGCTGTGTCCGCGTGAGTGACCGTCGACGTCGTGGCCCCACAACAATAGACCAAATGGAGGAGGCGATCAGGTAACAATCGGGAGATGGCACTCAAAAAATCCGTTACCTAGAAATAATACCTTTAACAGTGGACTCAAACGCCTTCAGGCTATATCAGCGGTTGCAGGCCTACTTTCACGCACTACTTGGACTTTCCGCGACGGCCTAACACGGGCTGGCCGAACGAACATCGCAGGAGGTTACATGGACAATGGTCGCTGTTACCTAACCTTCCCCATCGTTACACACGAAAACCTGAATATACGGCATACATTCGCATAATGGCAGTTTATTACAAAACAGAATCACTTTTAGATAGGATAAGTCTGCACAACATGGGACAGGAACAGTTCCCAGGCATCTGACAAAGAAATGGCATTGAGGCCAAACCAAAGACGATACTGTACTTCGTCTGTGTGAGCCCACACAGCTCGACCACATACAGGGCCTCCCTCGTAGAGTTTCCTTTTCAGTCTCCTCCAGTATGCCTCAATGGCATTGGTGTGCCGTCCGGTGGTAGGGTCCTTGAAGTTCTTTGAGTGGTTAACAGAGAAATGTTGATAACCTTCTGAGAGAAGACGGTTATACGCCTTCCACTCGTTCGTTACCACTATACTGCCTTTGGCGACCCATTTTGTAATAACGGAACGGAGAGCGGACCAACTTCGATCATTCACCTGCTCAAATAATATTTTCTGTCAGCTAGTATCGTACATACCGACCAGCCACCACCCATAAAACCCCTATTACCACCTGTCCGTAAGACAGACTGCTTTGTTTAGGCGGATTTTTTGGGTGCCATCTCCCGATTGTTACCGGGGATCATATTGGCTCACGGCATGTGTTAATCGGGCTGTGCGGAGTCCGCGTGAGCCCAGAACTGCTGCCGCATTGGGTGGGAAGGGGGGGGGGAGAATGATACACCCGGATGTGGGCTTTCTTGCCGCCTAATGCCAGCACCGGTTGGTTGAGAGGCATACGAGGGGAAGGTGAGAGTGACGTCGACACTAGGGAATCCATCTTCACGGTACGCCAGCGCGCTCTTTAATATACTAGATCTGCGCGCTTGAGTTTATTAAGACACACTAAGTGCCGTGTCCTGGAAGGTTGCCAATCGGCGGAATAACTGGCCATTTTCAGCGACGAGTCCGACTGCAATGGCTCCTTAGCTTGGCCCGTATGAAATTCCTGCACATGTGATATCCCAGCCGCTCTCATAGAAGACCGGTACGTATAGCGGAGCCAGGACGTGTGTGGCTAGCATAGATGGGATGTTTAGTGTTTCAAATCATGACGCCGGAATCCACCTCCGGTCGTTTTAACGTTGCATTGCCATCGGGGCTAGGAGGGTGGTCAAGAAGAGTGGAATAGATGCGGCGCAAGTCACCGCCCTGCGCCCACACCGTAGAGCACATAGTGAACATCTTTGTTCACAGCGGCCGATTTGACGGGCGTTTACGTGCTCGTCTGTGTGGCCAGCTTCTTCGCTGTTGTCGAGGTGCGTAGGCCAACTCCCGAACCGCCGTCGTGTTTCGCCGGCATTTCACCCTACGATGACGAGCTCAAGTGCCAAGTGGAGGGTCATATTGACTCACGACACGCGTTAATCGGGTTGTGCGGAGTCCGCACAAGCCCAGAACTGCTGTCGCATAGCGGGGGGGGGGTGACACATCCCGATATTAAGGTCCTCCTGTTTCACCGCTCGATTTTCCTCGTCGACGCTACCGCGAGAAAAAAATTTGGCCGTTAGGCGTTTCCTGAGCGTCACATCCTCTAAGACTTTAAAATTGCCTGCTCTTGTAGTCCTGCCCAGACTCAGGGTCGTGTGAGAGGCTTAATCGAGGCATGGTTTCGTTTGGCATCCACACTCGTAGATTAAAGTCTCATTCCACTCCCCTGACGCATCAGTCTAGAATCTAGAACTGCTGATGGCGAAGCCGTATTTAATGGCTAACAGAATTCGCCATTTCGTAATACCCCTGTTGCTTTGAATGTTTTCCACTTAGCTGCGTATCTTCGCCGAACGATGTTGTTGCGGTTGTCAAGACTGCTTGTTTATCAGACTCGATAGCCCTTCTGCTTCACAGCTATCCTTGGCTAGTAACCTGGAGACTTAACCTGTAACCTGCTGATGGGCAGGCCCAATCTTACCGACCCTCCTGCCACTCTAGTCTATTTCCCTGAACTGACTGAGATCCATCCTTTTCTTGTTTACTGAAGTCTCCTCACTGTCATATTTAGGTTGCCACTGTGCCTGGCGATCAGAAGATCCCCTCTTCGACACTCGACGACGAAACCGTGTCCTCCTCCCCCCTGTCCTCAGATTCTGAGCAAAACCCCACAGAGGGAAGGGCACGGCCGTTTCTGCGTTCCTCAGCTCTCTTCAACGGGGCCGCCCGCGCTCTTTTTGGAGCGTCGTCAAGGACCACAACCCCCGACACTGCTTCCACGCTTCCCGAGACGCAGCCGGCACCGCCAGAAAAGGCCAGGGTGGAGGAGAACGCGGCTGTGAAACGACTGCCGCCCAGCTGCTCTACCCCGGACAAGTCGGAGTCCTCTGGCCTCGATACGCCGGCCAAACCCTCCGTTTCAACTGTGATCAAGAACCAAAGTCGCTTCCTGGTCGACCGAAAGAGCATCAATGCAACTGCCTCACCGCCCGTCAACCGCAGCCAGGACTCAGACGAGACCCTCCGTTGCCAAGCCTGTGGTCTGCTGACCTCCCGTCGTTGTGCTCTGCAGATGCACGTCAAACGTCGACATCCAGAGCTCTACGTGCCAATGGGAGCCGTGGCTCGTGCTGCCCTGAAATTGGCCGCAACCGGTTCACGGCCGACGCCGCCGCCGCGACGACCGCAGAAGCGCAAGCGGGCGAGCCTGTCGCAGGTGATCTGGCGCTGCCCCGGATGCTATCCCTTCACCCAGACTTTTCCCAGCGCCCTGGAACTGCTCTCCCATCTGCCGCACTGTCGTCGAAATGCTGGTTCTCGCGCCTCCGGTGGACACCATGGCAGCGCCGGTGTGAAGTGGAGCCCGTGGCCAGAACCGCTTTCGCTTCCGGGCACGGGTTTCGGTTGTTGCATCTGTGGTCTCCTCTTCGCCTCCGCGTCGCGCCTCGATAGACATCGGAGGGCCTCGCATGACTCCAAACGCAAGGCACGCATTGGTGTGACGGGAGTGGGGAGTGACGCATTTATTCTCTAGGAACCAATCAGTAGGCGTTGCCAGTTAAGCGCACTTCAGCTCTTTTCCACTGTACAGAAACTCTG